TTATATGTTTTGTTACATTAGTTCTCACAACAACCCTGTTAGGGAGTTATTATTGTCCCCATTCTACATATGAGGAAAGCGAGGCTAAGAAGGACTAAATAACTTGATCAGAACCAATTTTGCGGCTAATAGGTAGAGCCAGGATTTGAACCCAGATAGATCTGGCTCCAAAGCCCATTTTCTTTCCATTTTACCCTCTTGCTGTATGATGCGAGAGTTGACCGTGATCACTAGCCTGACCTGATCCAAGTTTAAAAAGCCCAGTTTCCATCAATGGAAAGTGCTCTTTATTTTCTCCTACAACTGGCCTGTTGTAAGGTTACTGAGTATTTTTGTGTGTAGACTTTTAGGTTGTGAAGTGTCAGGTGTGCTGAATTTATTGTCTTGTTTGTTAAGCTGAAAATAAGGAAGGAGGCTAGCTGGGCGATCACCAGCCTGTTGTGTTTATGTAAGTGGATGTTTCAGATACCAGACTCTGACAGAGACAAGTCCAGTGACTGAAAAGTTGATGGAAGGCTTGTTACTAAACTTCACCTCGTTTTCAGGAAGGAAGAACCCTAATAGTTTGGAACAGGAGTGACAAAGAGATTAAAGAGTAGATAAGCTTTAAATATCACATTGATTAGAGGCCAGGTGTGTGTTTCCTAACTCTTTGGAGACAGCCAGGGAGGGAACTTCTGGGCCAGCGGCCCAGTGGCTATTGCTGAGACAGCAGGCTGGTCAGCAGTCTGGGAAGGTATTTGGGTTTGCTGAGTGAGTTTTGTGAGACTCAGCATCTTTCTTCACAAAATTATTGTTCTTCCAAACCTGTGCTATTCCTAGTTTCAGCCTTTTTATACAGTGAAACAGGAAGGAGAATGAGTATGTAGGTTGATTTGCTATGTAACCATGGACATATATTTTCTAGTTTGAGCTAATTAGATCTTTGAGATAGCACAGACCAGGAAAAAAGTAGATAGACTCCTGAGAGAGTTGAATTGGAGTGAGTGGGAGAACAAAGGAAGTTGGGTCAGTTAATGAGATTTTAGAGAGGTAATCTCCTTGCCTTTTTAAAACCAAGTGATGTAGGAAGCCAGCTATATATGGAAATAAATGCCATTTAACTTCCAGGGCAATGAAACCCGGTTGAAAGGAAAATGAAGTTGACTCATTTGGAGATGTGAGGAGAAATTGGATGTAGGTGTAAAGAAATTACCCGGAGTCGTACTTTTGAGTCTTTATTTACAAATTAAGGTACGCATCTTGTGAAAAGTTTCTTTTAACAGAATCCCCATGAGGTTTAAAAAAGAGCAGAGCGCAGTGCAGATGGCAGGATTGTCAAAAGCCACTTTGATTGCATTGTATGCATGCTTACCCAGGATGAGGAAATTGGACTGTTGCGCTTAAAAAGCTTTATTTCCTCCTCAGCTTCCCCCTCTGTTCCCCGTGTGCTTTCCTGGATTGTGTGTGGGATTCCAGTCTAGAGGTAGGGTGGGTCTTCTCACCTGTTTCCATTCTCCCCCCAAAATTCCCAGTTTTCACGTTAGGATCTGTGAAAACGTAAACTTTTCCAGAACCAAATTAATCTTTTGATTTCATGGTTCATGTTGAGTGTTAACTGGAGTGGGGGCAGGAGGGTGGAAGATACAAGGTGTTTGGACCCTTCTGGTTTATGGGATTGTCTTTTTCCCTTTTTCCCCTTAGGAACGGCGTGAATGTTGAGGGGGCGACACACAAGCAGGTGGTGGACCTGATCCGAGCAGGCGAGAAGGAATTGATCTTGACCGTGTTATCTGTACCTCCTCATGAGGCGGATAACCTAGATCCCAGTGACGACTCGTTGGGACAGTCATTTTATGATTACACAGAAAAGCAAGCAGTGCCCATATCGGTCCCCACATACAAACATGTGGAGCAGAATGCTGAGAAGTTTGTGGTGAGTGTCAGCCCAACTCAGTCCTCAGACACCGAGCTTTTGTTTGCCCCACCTTATTGTTTATGATGTATGTGAGAGCTGGAGAATAAAGACTGCACCTTAGGTCCGTTTGTTTATCAGGAAGATGGGCTCGCATGTAACTAAAAGACGCCGATCTTGATTTACTGGAGGGGGTGAACTGTAGTAATGAAGAGTCCTGTTTTTGCTGAAGTATAATTCCATTTTGTTTTCAGAACGGTTTGAAGTTTGCATTCTGGTCTGTTATAAACCAGTGTGAAGGGTTTTTTGTTTGTTTATTTTTTGGTGGTGGTTGCCCTTTCTCTTTGCTGACAGCAGTCTCTCCCTGTTGACTCTGAAGCTGTAGAGCAAGATTAATTAAAGAAGGCGGTGTCTTCTGAAACACTGGGTGGCACAGCCTCATCCGTTTCAGAACCTGCGTGTGCCCTCCCCTCCTCTCCATGCCGTGTTCCGTCTCCCTGTTGGGAGCTATCTGTGTGAATGATTAACTCTTGTTTTTCCTCTAGGTCCTAATTATGCTCTGAATGTGGGTCCCATGGGCTGTGTTACACATTTCCAGTATGTTGCTGTTGTAGGTGTGCAAGAAAGCCCATCTTGAGTTCTGGGTTATGTGTGCCAGCCCCTTGCCTGCATACCATTTGTTCTTACAGACCTCATTGCCACTGATAGCCCAGTCGGCTTAAATGTTCTCTTGTTGCAGTATGCTTTATTTGCCTTTGATTATTTTAGGAGTGTGATATAATGAAAAATGTCCAGTATTCTTTGTAGAAGATGCAGTGGGTTCTATTAGATCTTGGCAGACAGAGTCTGTCATTTAAAGCTGACCTGCTGACTAAAGTTGCAGTCTCTGAAACTGGAATTTGTCCCTTGGATAGGAATGAGCTACTAGACATTACGATAAATCTTTTTTAGTGGGGGGATGAGAAAAGCAAGGAAGCTAGAAAGGTTGTGGAAGGACCAAATAATGTTTGACAGCATCTGTAATTGAGCTAGAGAAGGTAACATAGCTTTTACGTCTCCATGGTCTCTGTATTCTGAGAACCATACACACAGAACGTAGAGTTTTATACCGCAGGAGTGCTGTGCTTGGAATCGCAAGGCATGTGAGAGGTTGAAGTCAAGGTCAGGTCCCCAGAGTAGAGCAGACTGGATGTTGAGACCTGTAGGGAATCACCTAAGACCTTGGGAACCTCCGTAGACTTGAGAAAAGGAATGAAACTAAAAATTGTCCTGTTTTGAGCCTAGTTTACCTGCATTGACATTCACGTATTTTAAGTACTTAAGTTTATGAATTTTGACAAAAGTATATAGTCTTATTACCACATCATCACCACAGTCAAGGCACAGCACATTCCCATCACCCCAACAAGTTCCTTTGTGCCCCTTTGCAGTCAGTCCCCTTCCCCTACCACCGTTGTCCCTGGCAACCGCGGATCTGCTTTCTGTCATTGTAGTTTGTTTCTTCTAGAATGGTAAGTAAACGAAATCATACAATATGTGGTCTTTCGGTCCGCCTTCTTTCTCTTAGTCTAATCCGTTTAAGATTGCTCCACCTTGTTGCATATATATCAGTCGTTCCTTTTTAACTGCTGACTGTGTTCCGTTGTATGCCTTTGTTCGGACAGTTTGTTTATCCGTTCGCTTGTGATGCACATTTCGATTGCTTCCAGTTTTTCGCTCTTATGACTAAAGTTGCTGTGAAATAACATTAATGTACAGGTCTTTATGTGGACATACGTTTTCATTTTTCTTGAGTACATATCTAGAAATGGAATTGCAGGGTCGTACGATACTTGTAAGTTTAACCTTGTAAGAAAGTGCCAGGCTGTTTTCCAAGCGGCTGTACCATTGTTGCATTCTCGTAAGCAGTGGAGAGTTCCAGTGGCTCCACAGTCTCTTCAACACTTGATATTTTCAGTCTAATTGTAGCTATCCTGGTGGGCGTGTGGTGGGTATTTTGTTGTAATTTGCATTTAGCTAATGAGCTTCTTTTCATGTGCTTAATGGCCATTCATGTATCTTCTTTGGTGAAGTATCTGCTCCACTCTTTTGCCCATTTAAAAAATTGGGTTGTTTATCTGCTTATTTTTTGGTAAGTGTTCTTTATATATTCTAGATATAAGTCTTTTACCAGATAGATGTTTTGCAGATATTTTCTCTCAGTCTGTGGCTTGTCCTTTCTTTTTTAACAGCGTCTTTCAAAGAACAGAAGTTTTAAATTTTGATGAAGTTCAGTATATCAGTTTTTCATTTATGGATAATGCTTTTTGTGTTCTAAGAAGTCTGCTTAACCCAAGGACACCAATTTTTTTCTGTGTTTTCTTGTAGAAGCTTTATTGTTTTAACTCTTTTTAAAAATATATTTATTGAAGTAAGATTCAGATACCATGAAAGTCACTAATTTAAAGTGTACAATCCAGTAGTTTTCTTATCTTCACAGAGTTGTGTAACCATCACCAAAAACAATTTTAGAACATTGTCATAAACGTCTGTCCTCCCCCGCCCTAGGCAATCGCTAATCTGCTTTCTCTCTCTGTAGATTGACAATTCTGGAGGTTTCATAGAAATGAAATTGTATGTGGTCCTTTGTAACCAGCTTCTTTCACTTAGCATAATGTTTTCAAGGTTCATTCCTTTTTTTTTTTCAAATTTTTTTTTAATGTGCTTTAGGTGAACGTTTGCAGAGCAGATTAGTTTATCATTCAAAAATTTATATACAGTTTTTTTCATGACATTGGTTGCAATTCCCACAATGTGTTGGCATTCTCCCCCTCTCCACTCCCAGTTCTCCATTCCCATTTGTGCAGTTTTCCTGCCCGTGCCTGCCTTATCATCTTTGCCTTCGGGCAAGGGTTGCCCATTTGCCCTTCTGTACAGGCATAACTCGGAGATATTGCGGGTTTGGTTCCAGACCACTGCAATAAAGCGACTATCGCAAGAAAGCAAGTCACACGAATTTTTTGGTTTCCCAGTGTGTGTAAAAATCATGTTTACACTATTCTGTAGTCTGTTAAGTGTGCAATGGCATTATGTCTAAAAAAACCATGCACGCACCTTAATTGAAAAGTACTTTATGGCTAAAAAAATGCTAACCATCATCTGAGCCTTCTGCGAGTCCTAATCTTTTTGCTGGGGGCGGGTCTGCCTAGAAATTGACGGCTGCTGACTGATCAGGGTGGTGGTTGCTGAAGGTTGGGGTGGCTCTGGCATTTTTTGAAATAAGACAACAATGAAGTTTGCCACATCGATTGACTCTTCCTTTCACGAAAGATTTCTCTGTAGCATGTGATGCTGTTTGACAGCCTTCTACCCACAGGAGAACTTCTTTCAAAATTGGAGTCAATCCTCTCAAACCCTGCCGCTGCTTTATCAACTGAGTTTCTGTAATATTCTAAATCCTTTGTTGTCATTTCAACAGTGTTCTCAGCATCTTCACCAGGAGTGGATTCCATCTCAAGAAACTACTTTCTTTGCTTACCCATAAGAAGCAACTGCTCATCTGTTAAAATTTTATCATGAGATTGCAGCAATTCAGTCACATCTTCAGACTCCACTTCTAATACTTTTGCTGTTTCCACCGCATCCACAGTTACTTCCTACACTGAACTCTTCAACCCCTTAAAGTCATCCATGAGGGTTGGAATTAACTTCTTGCAGACTCCTGTTAATGTTAATATTTTGACCTCCTCCCATGAATCACGAATGTTCTTAATGGCATCTAGAATGGTGAATCCTTTCCAGAAGGTTTTCAGTTTACTTTGCCCAGATTCATCAGAGGAATCACTGTGTATGGCAACTATAGCTTTACAAAATGTATTTCTTAAATAATAGGACTTCAAAGTCAAAATGACTCCTTGATCCATGAGCTGCAGAATGAGTGTTGTGTTAGCAGGCATGAAAACAACGTTAATCTCCTTGCACATCTCCCTCAGAGCTCTGGGTGACCACATGCCTTGTCAATGAGCAGTAATATTTTGAAAGGAATCTTTTTTTTCTGAGCAGTAGGTCTCAACAGTGGGCTTAAAATATTCAGTAGACCATGTTGTAAACAGATACGCTGTCATCCAGGCTTTGTTGTTCCATTTACAGAGCACAAGCAGAGTAGATTTAGTGTAGTTCTTAAGGGCCCTAGGATTTTCGGAATTTTAGTGAGCATTGGCTTCAACTTAAAGTCACCAGCTGCATTAGCCCCTAACAAGAGAGTCAGCTGGTCCTTTGAAGCTTTGAAGCCAGGCATTGACTTCTCTCTAGCTATGAAAGTCCTAGATGGCATCTTCTTTCAATATAAGGCTGTTTTGTCTACATCGAAAATCTGTTGTTTAGTGCAGCCACCTTCATCAATTATCTTAGCTGGATCTTCTGGATAACTTGCTGCAGCTTCTACGTCAGCACTTGCTGCTTCACCTTGCACTTTTATGTTATGGAGACGGCTTCTTTCCTTAAACCCCATGAACCCACCTCTGCCAGTGTCACACGTTTCTTCTGCAGCTTCCTCACCTCTCTCAGCCTTCACAGAATTGAAGAGAGTTAGGGCCTTGCTCTGGATTAGGCTTTGGCTTAAGGGAATGTTGTGGCTGGTTTGATCTTCTATCCAGACCACTAAAACTTTGTCCATATCAGCAATAATGCTGTTTTGCTTTCTTATCATTAGTGTGTTCACTGGAGTAGCATTTTTAATTTCCTTCAAGAACTTTTCCTTTGCATTCACAACTTGACTAACTTGTTTGGTGCAAGAGGCCTAGCTTTTGGCCTATCTTGGCTTTCAAGATGCCTTCCTCACTAAGCTTAATAATTTCTAGCTCTTTTGCTTTAAAGTGAGAGACATGTGACTCTGTGACTCCTCCTTTGACTTGAACACTTAGAAGCCATTGTAGAGTTATTAATTGGCCTAATTTCAATATTGTCGTGTCTCAGGGAATAGGGAGGCCTGAGGAGAGTTGGAGAGAGATGGGGAATGCTGGTCGGTGGAGCAGTCAGAACAC